GCCCGCCGCCCCCGCCGGCCGGCGACAGCACCACACAGCCTCAGCCCCAGGAAAAGTGCCTCAGCGTTGCCTGCCTCGACAAGTAAGTGCTGCGCCGAGCCTGTCACAGACAGCTTCAGAAGCAAACGTGGTCGGTTGTCCAAGCTCACCCGCGGCTCGGACCGCAGCCCTCCCTGCGAGTGCCGGGGTAGATATTTCGTTCTCCCATTCCTGTTCTGCTCGGAGCAGTGAGCGTGTCCCACCACCGGCACCCACGCACAGAATTAAACCCCCTGTGAATGGCAGAATCCCAGAATCCCAGGTCGGAAGGGACCTCAGGGATCACCTGGCCCAACCTCTCTGGGCCAGAGCCCCGTCCAGACACGATGGCCCAGCACCCTGCCCAGCTGAGGCTGGATAGTGCCCAACGTGGCGGAGTCACCCCCTCCCCTGGGGAGGGCATTCCCATGGGTGACTGTTCTCATGGGGAAACATTCCCCTCTCGTGTCCAATGGGAATCTCCCCGGGATCAACTCGTGTCCATGACCCCTGTCCTCTCCAGGTGACTCCTCGTGACCAGGCAGTCTCCATCCTCTCTGTCGCCCCCCCTTAGGCACTGGGACGTGGGGATGAGATCCCCCCGGAGCCTCCTGTGCTCCAGGCTGAACAAACCCAGCTCTCCCAGCCCATCCCCATCTGGCTGAGAGAGGCTTCCCAGCCCGTGGGTCACCTTGGTGGCCCTGCTCTGGGCCCCTCCAGCCTGCCCACAGCTTTTTTGTGCAGCGGGGACCAGAACTGGGCACAGGATTCCAGGTGGGGCCTGGCCAGCGCCGAGCAGAGTGGACTGAGGGCTCCTGTATCCCTGCTGGTGATGCCCTTGGTGATGCCCCCCAGCACCCTGCTGGCCTTGGCTCACTCCTGTTGGGCTCGTTGGCCACCAGGACCCCAGGTCCCTTCCCGCAGAGCTGCTCCCCAGCCGGGGGGTCCCAGCCCGTGCTGTCCTCAGGGATTGTGTTGTCCCGGGTGCAAGACCCCACACTTGTCCCTGTTGAACCTCACGAGGTTCTTGCTCGCCCGCTCCTCCAGCCTCTCCAGGTCTCCCTGCGGGGAGGCTCTCCCTCCCGGAGCGTCCACGTCCCCACTCAGTTTGGTGTCGCCTGCAGGGGGGACCCAACGCTCTGCTGCGAGGGGCCACGTGGGATGCCAAAATAAGAAGGGGTAAAGATGACTGTGCTGAATAAGGGCGTGCTCGAGCCGCCTGCTCCTCCAGCGAAGGAAGGAGTCAGCGTACGATCAGCCTCATCACCTCGGGCCCAGCGCATCCCCGCGGTGTAAAAGCTTCTGCGCTGGATTTGCGGTCCAAAGGCAGCCGACAGGCACTCCGGGCAGGCAGTGTTCCAGTAAAATCTTTAATCCCAGGGGGGGTTTACCTGCGGGTGAGGCTTGGCACCGCCGTGGGCAGCGTTTCCCCATGAGCCTGCTCTGCCCACATGCACCGCGGTGCCGTCCCTCTCCCCTCCTCCGCTTCTGCCTGCCCTGGCTGCCCTCCAAATCAGCGAGGGAGGCAGCTTTGCCCTCGCTGTTGCTTGCCCACCTCCTTCTAGACGTGGTGAGTGGATTCTCCTGCTCAGCCCCGCGACTCGCTGGGACATGGCTTGCGTCAAACGGTGGCTGAGATGGGCCCCGTTTTTCCTGGAAGCGGCCGTCCTTGCTTTCCCCGCTGCCTCTGCGGCGCTGTCGGCTCGGGGGCAAACCGGCCCAGCTCCATCGTTCCGGCTCTGCACATGGGCTCGCCTTCCCAGGGGCAAGCAGCCGGACTCTGCGCAGTTGCCCGATGCCGGTTGTCAGCAGGGACCTTGGCATCTGAAAGCATCCACAGCCCAGGAAGCTCCTTCAGGATTTTCCTGGATGTGCCCCGGGCTCTCCATCAGGATCCCAGCTTCCCGGGGCGCACGGAGGTGCCCGTTCCTCATGAGCCCTGTGGGCCACCAGGCTGCTAAAAGCCATCGAGGGGCCAGTCAAAAGCTCCCAAGGGCTGGTAGGAGGCCAGGCCAGAGCGGTGCTGGCCTCGGCAGAGGAGGAAGGCGGCTGAAAGCCGACGGGTGGCTCCTGATCGGGGAGCGGCCGCGTCGTCGTACGTCTCCTATCACCGCACCGCGCTCACAGGTGCAACTGCAAGCCTTGGGGTGAAAAACCAGAAAGTTGGTTTTCCTTTGCAAAGCGCCCAGAACTTTGCCCTTGGCCCTGTTGACGTCTCGGCCGCCGCTCGGGTCTCGGCCGCGTCCCGTCCTCCCTGTGCTCCGGGGAAAGCGGCCTGTCAGAATTCAGGTCTTCCCTCTGGATGCCGGGACAGACTTTCTGTCCTTAAAGTATAAAATGATCTGGAGGAGACACCGTTAGTCTCAGGGGCCTGGAAAGCAGCGGAGAGCTCGTGATGACAGCGTGACCCGTCCTCCCCTGCTAATTAACCCTGCGCTAGCCTTGGCTTTGCGGAGCTGCGGCGCCATGGCTCTGGGTGGGGAAGGGACAAGCCCTGGGGACGAAGCCCGATTCGTTTGTCATTAGCGGGTAACGGAGGGGGGGGCAAGGAGGAC